ATCGTACATTAAAAATGAAATTTGAAGAGATACGTCTGGAACAACTTTGGATATACATTCAAAGGGAATATCCAACACTTTTTAAAAAGACACTTAATATTTTGCTACTATTTTCGACGTTGTATCTACATACATTGACCAACATAAAAACTAAAAAAGGGGAAAGATTAAGCAATTTAGAAGATGAAATGAGAGTAGCATTATATAAGGCCAAATATCAGGGATATCTGCAAACACGACAAGTTAATTTTTAAAATTAATATAGCTATTGTAGAACAATTGCCTACGCTTTATTTTTGACCTGGGCAAGTACGACCATGTGACGCAATATCGAAATCACCTTCATATGTTGACTGTCGAAAAGCGCAGATCCTTCCGTATACTGACTACATTATATAAAATACTTTCTTCTCGGACCCCAGCATACTTGTGCACGAACTTTCAATTCATGTCGTCTCGTGGTCTGCCTACTAGAGCACAGTCTGACCTTACTCATATTTCCCATTCATCGCACAGAGAGACATCATGGATCTTTCACGGTACAGGCTATAAAGCTTTGGAATAGTTTACCCACGGAAATACGCAACACTCGGAGTTTTCTAACATTTAAGGTCTGCTTAAGGGATTATCTATTAACACTGCAATTATCTGAATCTAACTCTTGATGTCACCTGCTTCTCTTCTCTTTTCCTTTTTCTTTTTTTCTTTTCTTTTCTTTTTCCTCCTCTCTATCAACTGTACTCGTTGTGTTTCTTCTTTTTTTTCCTTTTCCTCTGCTCTTTTTCTTCTTTTTACTTAAATGTTGAATTATTTAATAATGCCATATTGATTATTTTTTTACATACATTGCTGGTTGGGTCTTTTGGAAGACATCGCTCTTGGCGATAAACTGACCTTTTGTCAACATACACTATTAATTAATTCATTTATGTATACATATATATTATTTTTCTCCTGTATAAGCTATGTGGCAATAAACTTATTATTATTATTGTTTATGGTGTCGTTTGTTAAATTTTTCCAAGATAGGTACTCTTAGCCTTTCTAACTAAAGATGGTGTTCCGCTATTTTTTATTACTGTCAAAAGTGTTCCGCCACCACGAAAAGGTTGAGAACCACTGGTGTAGAATGTAAGACGAATCATGTACTCCCGGACTGAATTACTGTTATACTTGTCAAAATTGTGAAAGTGCAGCAGAATGTGATTAATATATTAATGGCCCTTATTAGCCTGGCTAATTTTGAATGTCATTTTTCCCATTTAAATAACCCGTGACAACCAACCCCATAGTCTGTGACAACCAACCCGGAGTAAGGGCAGGTTGTAACAAAAATTTGCTCAGGCAAAAAATATATTTAATAACCCCTTATTGCTGTGGTATCAAAACTGCAGGATAATAGAGCTAAGGGTATACAGTAAAGGATAGGTTAATAATAAAAAGGGTAACTATAAATCCTGCCTCTTAAAAATTCGAAAGCAAAAAGCTAATTTAGTTTTTAGTAAAAGGAAGAACTATATTTATAAAAATTCAAAATCCGAATCATCTTCCGATTCGCTTGGAGAATCCTTCTCCGCTTCGCTATGCTGCTCATCAATTATATCCTCTTCCACTGAATCCGTGATCAGCTCTCTTGCCTCAGCTCCTTTAATGAGACTTTCTGGAACGTTCTAAGGCCTGTAATAACAGGATTTGATGACATTAAAAGCATGTGAACTAAGTCTTCACAGGTTTTTATATATGAGGGCTTTCTAGTGTGCTGAGCTATGAATCGCCTCATGTCCTTATTCCTTGCCTCCTGTGCCTCCTCTGAATCTCTATTGGAACAAGGGCATGTTTGAAAGCCAAAGATATTATGTAGGCTGGAAGGTATCCTGTACCAGTCACATACCCCCATAAACAGTTTGGTAGTATCCTAGGTAAATATGTTTTTTTCCTTGTCATTGTCATAGTGAGCAATTTGAGGAAGTTGTTTTATAAATACCTGAAGAATAGTTCAAAATCTAGATATTAATCACTTATCAACTCCTAGCTGCAGCGGCTTCATCTGCATGCTCCACTTTTACAGTGTGTACTTCCTGTACCGGCCATCAATGACCTCAAAAACTCCCCGGATATCAAGCTTTATGCAGCGTGTTCATAAAGCTTAGTTACTTTTGATGTTTTTCAAATGGCTTTTTCTTAAGTTTTTTAAATGGAACATTCTGTATATTGTGTACTAGTTGAATTGCTCATCAAGTTCCTTTTAATTAATGATAAGTATGTCATATGTCTAACGTTAACAGTTTTTCTGATATTTAGAGTTTAAAGAAAAATGTGTAATAAAATATGCGTTATTGTACTTAATATTATATTCTGTCTATTTTTATCAGTTTTTTTGTTCTTCCTTTTATTATTTGATTAATATTTTATAATGTAAAATAATTCTGCTGCTATATACCAAATTTTAATGCGACTTGGTACTTTATGAGATTTAAAAAGATGTAAGTAATAAAATATACAATTGTTCTACCATATAATTTACGACTTTAGAGAAAATAAGATGCACATGTTAAGAGATACCTCAAGGTCTTTTATACAGCGCATTAATACCATAACAACTTCTAAATATTAATTAAATTAATACCTACTTGTTGAGTAACGTTCAATAATTATTTATAGTTTGTTGCTGCATTTCCTTCAAATAATTTAGTAATTAAAAAAGGGATTTATTGTTCTTCCATTTAATTGTATTTTTTGTATTTTTATCACGTTTTGATTATTTATTTATTAAAGTTCTTTTTTAAATTGTTTTTTAATATAATATTACTGATTTACAAATGACAGACAAACAAAAATGAAGAAACAAAAAAAAAGTGACAAAAAAAAAGGACAGAATATATTACATTCTGTCACCTGTTTAAGTACAATAATGACATTTCATTACACATTTTTCTTTAAATTCTAAATATCAGGAAAACTATTAAAGTTAGACATATGATATACTTATCATTAATTAAAGGGAACTTGATGAGCAATTCAACTAGCACACAATATACAGGTGTTCCATTTAGAAACCTTAAGAAAAAGCCATTTGAAAAACATCAAAAGTAACTAAGCTTTATATACTGCTGGCACGTTAATTAGCACACCCTTGCAAATTCAAGTAGTACTATCCATATTTCGAACTATATATACTCGAACTTCGAACTATATTCGTTCGAATACTTCGAACTATATATTTTAACATAATTTTTGATTTGTTTGTATTGACTTATACTGTATCGTTTGTATTGGCTTCGTTGTAGTAACATTTTATCGCTGATTAAATTGTTATACGTCTTTTTTCGCAAATATGTTTACTATAAGTTGGCATTTTAATTAGCACACCCTGACATTGGCAATGTCTGTTCCGTATGAAGTTCGTATTGATAGTTGAATTTGATTTAAAAGCAGTATAAATGTCAGTTAAGTCAATTTAAACGAAAATTGTTTAAACATCATTGAGATGGGATGTAAAAAAAGCTGTACAGAGGAGGAAAAAAAGAAATGTTTGAAAAAGAAATATAAGTAAAATTGCCCAACCTATTAGGAGTTCGCGTAAAAAAGTTCAAAATGCACTCAAACATTATCGAAATAATAAAAGTTTTTCTAATAAAAAATGATCAAGACGCAGAAAAATCGGAAAAAGAGAAGATTCCCTAATTGTCCGACAGGTGCTCGAAGATTCTTCCGTTACTTCTTCACAGAGAAGAGCCACAATGTAGCAGCAACATGATGTCAACATTGCAAGTAGGACTATCAGACAACGACTTATGGAAAACAATCTCCGGGGATGCTAAAGTTTAAAAAAAACCGAAGGTTTCGGTTGGTAACCGTAAAAAGCGCTTGGAATTTGTAAAAAGCCATTTTGAATAAATCTCTTCCCTTTTTCTGGAGTTGCGTAATTTTTAGCGACAAATTTAAATGCAATCTATACAGACCTGATGGTAGATGTTACGTGCGACGTCCTCCAAATAAACAGTTAGAGCCAAAGTACACGAGAAAGACAGTAAAATTGCTTCGATTTTATGCACTTTTAACTAGATGCAGGACGGTGTGCTAATTAGCATGCCACCCCTGTAAACAGCCTGTATAGTGTATCTAATATCTTTGATTACTATCATCTGCCTACTGGCTTTGACTATCGTCTGACGTAATTTCAAGGCAAAATCGGAAAGAATGTCGTCTTTACATCGTTTTTAAAAAGATTCTGTGTGGGTACATTTTAGAAGAACAATTTAATATCTCAGGAACTATGAACGCTATGAATTAGTAACAGATACGTTTGTATAAACAAATTTAGTTGTATTCATAATATAATCAAATAAACAGGGTGTTCCATTTAAACAAATTGACGTACTCTCCGTTAAGCTTAAATGGAACACCTGTATAAGTGAAAATAATTTTACGTAATAGAAAATGATGAGTGAAACAACTTTTGTATAAAATATTTTTTGTTTTTCAAACGGTTTAATAACTATCGATCGCCGGCATACTAATAACTCACCCTGTATTATTAACTACTTCTATATCATAATAAAGAAATTCAAAGTAAATATTACCTAATGAAAAAAAGTTGCGCGTTAAAATGTAGAGAGCCTACATGTAAAGGCACCTACATGTATATTGGCAAAGGTTAGACCTTTCAAATAAAGACAACCTTATTCAAATCCAGCAATACGTTCAAAAGTTATTGCAATTTGAAATTGGTCATCATTTTAGGTGATGCGTTTTTTATGCCGCTGACTGTATTAGTCGGTAAAGTTACCCTTTTTGACGTTTGAAGAAAAAAAGTGTTAATTGCAAAAAGTAAGGTGTAATTGCATCTAATCGAAAATCGGTGATGTTATAAAAAAAATAATGGATAGAAAAGGAGTAAACAGTACAATTTTGCCTGAAAAAAGGCTAGAAGAACGTGCAACTGAAAAAAGGATCATTTCAGCATCGGGGCGATCATTACTTTAATTTTATTTACTTACTTACACCTAGACGATCGCACGAAGATTTTTCCGGACCTGTAACATTGTTATCATCCTTGCGTATTGTAAAAAATTGTTTCAAACAGGGGATGATATCAATTTAATTTTAAGTAATGGCAGCAAATAAAATGACTCATTTAAAAATAAATAATGTATTGTTCTCGTTTGAATAGCATTAACCCCAAAATATTCTTTTTCAGTTTTTTGGCACCCAACTGTTTTAAAAACTTGTTGGCACCGAAAACACCTACGCGATATCGCGAAAATTACGAATTACGAAGGAATGCGATTTCGTCATCTCAACACGCGATATCGGAACTACTTTCATTAATAAGTCCATTTGGACTTGTTTCAATAAGTTATTTGGACGAACCAACCGAAAATTAAGCTTATTTACTGCCATGTAAAACGATTAATTCAAAACAAAACGGAATAAATAGCTAACATTAATTTTCATTTTGAACGTTTGGGCCCACTAAAATAATTACTTACAAAATAACACTGCTACGTATTCAGTTTCTTGTACAATTTTATCTAGAATCCTCGCGTTCACTTCTTCTATTCTATCGGGAAGATCCATCGCTTCCAAACTTGTTAAAAACTCCAAAACGTTTTCCTCGTCCATTAAGTCACCTAATTACAAATAAAAATTACAAAAAGAAATTAATCAAATGATTTAAATTAATTTAAACATTTGTTTTTTTAGATTCCTTTGATTTGTAACGAATTAAAATAACTTTTGGCACAAATCCGAATGATTTTCCATGATAATAACGCTAAAGAAACATTACGTCAAACAGGCGTAACTCGAAAACGCTAATAATCGCGCTTGGTAACAAGTAACAAGGAATAATTTCACATAAAATAAATCCTTTGAAATCAAAATCGACCCGACTCCGTTATCCGATGCTTTTGAAACACAACAAAGTGATTCATTTTACACCCAATGAACAAGATAACATTCGGTCCAAACACGACGAACGTTATAAATAGACGTTTACCTTCATAGATGATGGGCTGTTTTTCCCGGAAATAAGTAAGGGCCGGAAACTTCGTAATTCCATACTGTTTCGCGAGTCGTTTATCGTTGATCTTAACGAAATCAACGCCGAATGTATCGGTGTCATCGTCGATCTGTTCAAGTTCGTACAGGACTTTATCGCAGGTAGTACAACTTCTTGCATCTACAAAAAAAAATAAATATAATTAATTTTTATCTTAAATATGATGACATATTAATTAATACTAAATAAATAGATATTATATCAATTTGAAAGTATTTGCTTAGTAGAATTGCAAATAATAAAATCTAGCATCGGTATTATTAATAGAACGACCATGTTCATAGGGATACCAAAATTCGCATATTTCAAACCAAATTAGAAGTTTAATGGGTTGGCACTACCGGGAATTTCATATAACTCGCAATATATGAATACAGTAACCATAGTTACGAAACTACTATGTACTTGCACTGTCCCACATAAAATGCAACATAGCTTAATAGTTCAGGCATTGGGTAGTTTTGCAAAGAAAAAGGTTTGCTTGGAAAAACGTAACGTCCTTATGATAACCATGAGCTTTCGACCATCTTAAGAGACGTACGGCTAAACCCGAATGTTTCTGGTTCTAGTGCTAGTACTAGTAATAGTGCTAGTGCAAAACTAGAATTAACACTAGACCGAGAACTAGAAACATTCGGATTTAGCCGCACGTCTCCCAAGACGGCTAAACCCGAATGATTCTAGTTCTAGGTCTTGTGTTAGTTCTAGTTTTAGTGCAATAAAAATGTGCAACATAGTGCATAATGCAACAAACTAGTTTCTAGTTCTAGTGATAGTGCTAGTTTTAGTGCAATAAAAATATGCAACATAGTGATATCTTATGCTAACTAGCGCTGCCTACCACTGTCACTAAATCTAACATTAGACCTAGAACTAGAAACATTTAGGTTTAGCCGTCTTAAGAGACGCACGGCTAAACCTGCATGTTTCTGGTTCTAGGTCTTGCGTTAGTTCTAGTGATAGTGCTAATGCAGAACTAGAACTAACACTAGATCTAGATCAAAGTTGTAGCTAATTTTATTCTTAGCAATATTGATCTGTATCACCTGCTTCTTCTCAAATGCCTAAATGTCGAGAAAAATGTAAAAATATGAAAATTGTATGAATTTGTTCATTTTTCAAGTTGTTAATGGTATCACTCGGGAAACAGAGTGTGTTATAAAAAAACTTTTTGAACAATAGTTGTTGCTAATTTTATTCTTAACAGTATTGCTCTCTTTCACTTTTGCTCTCTGTTGCGTAAATATTGAGAAAAATACGGAAATATGAAAATTGGATGAATTTGTTGCTTTTTCAAGTTGTTATGGTAACATTCGGAAAACGGAGCATTTTTAGGACGAAAGTTGTAGCTAATTTTATTCTTAGCAATATTGCTCTCTTTCACTTTTGCTATTAAATGCCTAAATTTCCAGAAGAATGCAAGAATATGAAAATTGGATGAATTTGTGGCCTTTTCAAGTTAATGGTAACATTCGGAAAACAGAGCATGTTATAAAAAAACTTTTGGAGCGAAAGTTGTAGCTAATTTTATTCTTAGCAATATTGCTCTCTTTCACTTTTGCTCTTAGATACATAAATATTGAGAATAATACGAAAATATGAAAATTGGATGAATTTATTGCTTTTTCAAGTTGTTAATGGTAATACTTGGGAAACGGAGCATGTTATAGAAAAACTTTTAGGACGAAAGTTGTAGCTAATTTTATTCTTAGCAATATTGCTCTGTTCCACTTTTGCTCCTAGATGCTTAAATTTCCAGAAAAATGCAAGAATATGAAAATTGCATAAATTTGTTCCTTTATCAAGTAGTTCATGGTAGTACTCGGGAAACTGAGCATGTTATAAAAAAACTTTTGAAACGAAAGTTGTAGCTAATTTTATTCTTTGCAATATTGCTCTCTTTCACTTTTGCTCTTGGATGCATAAATATTGACAAAAATACGGAAATATGAAATTTGGATGAATTTGTTGCATTTTCAAATTGTTAATGGTAACACTCGGGAAATGTAGCATGTATAATCAAACTTTTCTAGTTCTAGATCTAGTGTTAGTTCTAGTGATAGTGTTAATGCAAAGCTAACTAGCCGCACGTCTCTCACGACGGCTAAACCCGAATGATTCTAGTTCTAGGTCTTGTGTTAGTTCTAGTGATAGTGCTGGTGTAAAACTAGAACTAATACTACACCTAGAACTAGAAAGTATTGGAAGACGCACGGCCAAGCCCGAATGTTTCTAGTTCTAGGTCTAGTGTTAGTTCTAGGTTTAGTACTTAGTAATTTTTTACTAAATAAATAGATATTATATCAATTTGAAAGTATTTTCTTCGTAGAATTGCCAATAATAACATCTAGCATCGGTATTATACTTATTTATATCTAGGTAACAAATAGAACGATCATGTTTATAGGGATACCAAAATTCGCATATTTCAAACCAAATTAGAAGTTTAATGGGTTGGCACTATCGGGAATTACATATAACTCCCAATATATGAATGCTGTAACCATAGTTATGAAACTACTATGCACTTGCACTGTCCCACATAAAATGCAACATAGCTTAATAGTACAGGCATTGGGTAGTTTTGCAAAGAAAAAGTTTTGCTTGGAAAAACGTAACATCCTTATGATAACCATGAGTTTTCGGCCGTCTTAAGAGACGCACGGCTAAACCCGAATGTTTCTGGTTCTAGACCTTGTGTTAGTTCTACTGCTAGTTCTAGTAATAGTAGTAGTGCAAAACTAGAACTAACACTAGACCGAGAACTAGAAACATTCGGATTTAGCCGCACATCTCCCAAGACGGCCAAACCCGAATGATTCTTGTTCTAGGTCTTGTGTTAATTCTAGTGATAGTGCTAGTGTAAAATTAGAACTAATACTAGACCTAGAACTAGAAAGTATCGGAAGACGCACGGCCAAATCCGACTGTTTCTAGTTCTAGGTCTAGTGTTAGTTCTAGGTTTAGTACAACAAAAAAATGGAACATAGTAATATCTTATGCTAACTAGCGCTGCCTACCACTGTCACTGGAACTAACATTAGACCTAGAAGTAGAATCATTTAAGTTTAGCCGTCTTAAGAGACGCACGGCTATGCGGAATGTTTCTAGTTCTAGTGCTAGTGTTAGTCTAGTTTTATTTGTTATTCAGCGAGATTGTTGTATATTTTTATTGAGCTATAACAGACACTGCGTTCCCCGTATTGATCCGTTGTATCGAAGTTTTACTGTAATGTCAAATTATATTGACATATTGCATTTTATGTGGGACAAAGTAAGTAGTTGTAGTAGTGCAGTAGTATATAGCATCTTAAGTGAAATTCGTTGCATATTCACTACGATTAGTAACTGAATACACTTAAAGCCAGACATTATAAAATCAGGTGTTGACTTTGGACTTTTTCATCATATCATATATTTCGGCAATTTTATACATCGCTGCTTTGTTTGGTTTATTTGCATCATTACGTCCCGTTGTAAAAGCTTCCAGCAATTAACCACATTTCCCGAATAATCTAACCACGTCCGAAGACATTTCAATAACGCAGCTGAATTATGTCTTCCCATATGTCCCATCTTCGTTTTCTACATAACGAAGTACTTCAGCCATTTTGAATTGTTTCGTCATGATCTAGGACAGCTTTAAAAAGGTAATGTATCTAGCTCCAAGGAGATGTTTTTTAGTATGATTTCAAAGATGACCAACCTTTATGAATGACAGACAAATTTTTCCTATTACATTTTGATGTTGGCGCATTCAATAATAGAAGTTCTATAAGAATTGTGATGTTATGATTGTTTTCTGTTTTAACTTATTAATCCTCTTGAGGTGCTTTCATGTTATCTCTTAGGTGGTCTGCCAGAAAGTTCCGATGTCCACGAAGTCTATCTTTGTGGGTAAAGGAAGAAAAACCCACTTTCTTTCTTTGCCCACTTTGTCCGTCATTCTAATGACATGGTCTCTCCAGTATCTTTGCCTTATTTTTATGAATCCAATAACATACTACATATTTAGTTCTTCGTGTGTTATAACGTTCTTAATCTGGTCACGTACTCTTCTAACTAAGTACCCAACCAGTACTAGAAGAACTACCCAACATGATCTGCATTAATCTAGCCAATATAAAAACTAAGCTATATTTGACTAAATTTTACTAAACTGAGGTGTCCAGACTAGAAGAGAATGAACAAAATTTTCAGAAACTTGCGTATGTGAACTACCAATTTCGGCATTGTACAAGATACTGCGTGTAATCACAATGAAGCAAAATCAGTGTCGTAAGGATGTTACATGCGAGTGTTTGGCTTCATAAAAGAGATATAACTATCAGAAACTAGTGGTGGAACGGATATCCGGCCTATACGGCCATATTTTTTAAATCCGGCCGGATACCGGATAGTTACCAAATATCCGGCTTTGGCCGGATATTAAAAACCTATTACTTAATACTTCACCACTGACAAGAATTAGTATCTCTTTTAGGTGTTGGATTTTTCTTCTCTTCGCTTGTAATTCACCATCACATTCATTACTAACAGAACTGTCGTTGTTACTTTCGATTATTAATTAAAGTATCTTCTTTTTAATGCAAAAAGCTGTTTTGTAAGATTACTTTCATTTCTTGAGAAATTGTTGAAATGATAGACAATTTTTTCGAATTTTGCAATTTTCGACGATTAAGTTATAAAAATTCGTATAAAATCCATTTTTTGGAATATGAGTATGAAAATTTCCCAAAGTGTTAATAAAGGTGTCTTCTTTCTAATGAACTTACACGTTTTAAAAAATAACTTTTAGTTTTTGAGAAAACAATATTTGAAATTTTAATAAAACTTTCGATGTTGCAATTTTCATCGATAATTTTCAAAATTCGCTATAAAATTAATTTCTTGAGGATCCTTGTGGAAATATCACCAATTATTAATTAAAGTATCCTCCCTTTAATGCAAAAAGCCGTTTTGAAAAATAACTTTTAGTTTTTGAGAAAACAATATTTGAAATTTTGATAAAACTTTCGATGTTGCAATTTTCATCGATAATTTTCAAAATTCGCTACAAAATTAATTTCTTGGAGGTTCCTTGTGGAAATATCACCAATTATTAATTAAAGCATCCTCTTTTTAATGCAAAAAGCCGTTTTGAAAAATCACTTTCAGTTCTTGAGAAATAAATTTTTGAAATGATCGACAATTTTTTCGAATTTTGCAATTTTCACCGATTAAGTTTTAAAAATTCATATAAAATCCATTTCTTGGAATATGAGTATGAAAATTTCCCAAAGTGTTAATAAAAGTGTCCTCTTTCCAATGAACCAACCCGTTTTGATAAATAACTTTTAGTTTTTGAGAAAACAATGTTTGAAGTTTTGATAAAACTTTCGATGTTGCAATTTTCATCGATAATTTTCAAAATTCCCTATAAAATTAATTTCTTGAAGGATCCTTGTGGAAATAACACCAATTATTAATTAAAGTATCCTCTTTTTAGAGTTGCTTCGTTAGTTACATCAGCATAAAAAAGTTCATTTTGTATCTTGGATCCAAATAAGTTGACATATCTATCAGATAACCGGATATCCGGTCAAAGGGGATGCCGAATATCCGGTAATTGGCTCTTCGCAAAATCACTATCCGGTCCATCACTATCAGAAATGTTACACTAATTGCAAAATCGATCACTTTTGAATCTGATTGGTTAAAGATAGAGCATAATAAGAAAATAATGATACAAATTATATTTATGTATAACATACATCTCAAATTTGAAAAAATAATTAGTAACAGGATTCTCGATTTTCTTGACAAGCTGAGTATTATTAGTTGCTACCAGCATGGTTTCAGACATAAGCTATCTACTGAGACTGCTTCAATTGAGTTCGTTCAATATATTTACGATTTTGATAATGGCAATTACGTGGTTGGATTGTTTTTTGACCTTAGTAGGGCGTTTGACTCTCTCAATTCCAATTTCTTATGCAAAAAGTTATATTGTATGGGTATCCGTGGTCCTATTCTGAATTGCATTTTTTTTTAACCGATCGTTCCCTCAGAGTAGTGTTGTCGAATGATTACTCGGATGAGTCTTCCGTTGATATGGGGTTTCCACAGGGTTCAATTTTGAGGCCTTTGCTTTTTATACTTTTTATTAATAACCTTCCCGGGTTTCTTGAGGATACTCATCTGGTTATGTACACTCATGTATGACTCATCTGTTAAAAAGTGTTCTGTATGGTGTGAGCGTCATAGAATTAAGTTAAATGTTGATAAAACCATCAGTTTTTACAAGCATTGGACATTGCCGGCTAGTTTTGAAGATCAATTTTTATTTGCGCAACACACACGATTGCTTGGTTTGGTGTTAGATGGCATTCTCTCTTTTGAAAATCACATAGAAACGGTGTGCAAAACAATGAACTCAGCCTATTATGCAATTTCGAAATTAAAAAAAGTTTTAATAAAAATTCGCTATTAAATATGTATTACGCACTTTGCTATTTCCTACAATATACTAGTTTGTGGCACAGAAACGCGTCATTAGATTATTCGATTTAAATGGCAGGGAATCATGTAGGGAAGCTTTCCTGAATCATTCGATACTCACCTTCCCATGTATCTATTTATTGAAGGCTTTGGTTTATGTAAACACTGATATAAGCCGTTTTGTAATTTCGACTCACAAATATGATACCCGTGGTGGAGATAATCTGGTTCTCTCTCGACATGTCACCTCCACATTTGAAAGAAGTCCCTTTTATGACTTTCCAAGAATTTATAATAGATTACCCCGATCGATAAGATCTCAGGAGTGCCGCAAAACATTTTAACAAGTTGTAAATCTGTACTTCTTAAATTCTGTTCTATTCAAGACAAGAAATTTTAGATAGGTAGTGATTTTTATTAGTTACAACGTATTATATAATTTACTATTGTATTCTGTTTTATTGTTCTATGTATGTTGACTTGTCATATCTATTTATGTAGCCCACGTGATTGAATAAATATTCTATTCTAAATGTGCTGATCTGGGTGATCTGGAGACAAATATTTACCTAATGTTTTGCAATTTGTTTCTGAATTATGTGGATTACAAACTTTTAAACCTCCTTTAAGAAGTCCAAAATAATTAGCTTAATGATGATATTATATTCTGCTGCCAACAGACAATAACCGATTACGATTTACACAATTTAGCAAACAAAATTCAAATTAGCCGCCAGGAGAAAGAAAATTAATTCTTTATTCATTAAGACGCTCAGCAAATTACCAATTTGGCACTTCTTAAATCAAAATGGCGGCGAACACACGAATTTTATACTATTTATAAGTTTAATTTATAACTTAAAATATCAACATATTTTGATTTATTCGTTGTTTTAAAACCGTTAAATAATTCCTAGAATATTTTTGGTTATACAATTCAACATTTGTTGGAAGGTAGGTGTGAATGGTCGTAAACATTACGCGAAGTTACGTTTTCTGAGCGTCGAGCATGGATCTATTTTTGAAAACGACATCCGATAGGGCCTCCACGACGAGCTTTTGCCTCGGAATTATACCTACACACTCCCGCATATTGAGCAACGCGTTTTTTTTTCAACCCGCGGAAATCTCTGTCGAAAGCGCCAAGAAAAATTTTGAAACAACATCGTTTTATAAATCGAAATAGATTTTTACATTGTATTTTTATGTTATATTAAAAAAAATGGGTGAAATCAAGATTCTCGTTATAGAATAGATAGAAAAATAAATCATTTAGATAAAACTGAAGTTGATACAATAATTTGGACAAAAGCCAATGAATTTAAAACCATCAATTATAAACCGGGCCAACTTTGGATAACCAAATCTGAAAACCTAATCTAAACCAAGAAAAAAAAAAAAATATCTAATCTAATTTAAAAATGAGAATTAACATCTAAGTTTTTGCGAAGAATTTGATTTAGTGCGTTTCCCACAAACTTTTCGAACTTGATTGGTTGAGATTGACGTGTCGATAAATTGACAAAACTCCAAGCATTTTTAGAACTACAACCGAGTTAAGACCAATATTTTTAGATACGGCCCTGGGACGTGGTAGCTTTTTGTTTCGTTTATTTTCGTTTGCTAACATTTTATCTGGAGACGTTTTATTTCGAGGAGTTTTTAGGAGGAGCGCTTTATTTCACTGCTACTCAAAAACGACTTTGAAATTAAAAAAACATAATCGGTCAAGATGAAAATGATTTAAAAAGATTTAAAATAAAAATACACCGAAGAAAAGTCGGCACGTGACGTAGCCTAACATATGATGCCCAAAAATAACCGTCTCAGATTTGAGAATGAGAGAACGACGAGACGAAAATTTTTCGGAGGTCAAACGTCTTCACCGAGTTAATACCGATTAATTTCGATTATAAACAAATAATAAAAAATTTAAGCGTCTCATAAAATTTTTCTCGATTCATCAAAACATTAAAAGAAAATTAACAAGGTCTGACAGTTAAGTTAAATCAAAAAAAAAATTATGTTAACATTTTTAAGTTTCAAGCGTGTGCGCAATGAAAACTTTAAATTTAGAGCATTCAGTTGTCTCCTCTTAGGTGGAGGTCTCGACGCCGCGTGAGTGGAACGTCCACGAGCCAAATCTGGCGATACGATATCCAACTCCACAAATGTTCCCCGATCGCTCCCGAATCCCACTGCTACTAAGTACAGACGGAGAACGAGATCGTTCCGCATTCCCCGGGAATAACTATTAACTTAAATTCAAACACCGAACCGTCATCGGGGGGTTCACTTACACCAGAATACGGCCACGTAGTCCTTCTCGGCGAGGACGCGTTCCAGTTGCTTTGCCGTCACCTCTTCGATGACGGGCTCTGGGGCCGAGGGGCCTCGTTTGGCCGCCACCAACGCCGCCGCGAACAGCAACCACAGCCACATACCGCCGTCCACTGCCTCTCAAACCGGGACTAAATGGACGACGTACAGCGTCGCGACGCCCTATCCCCACCTCAACATCTCTAACTATACCCGATCATTTGCCAATCTTCATTCTATTAAGACATTATAAAGTTCTTTTTTGGTATACAATCTAGCAGAAGTAGATAATCTTATACTCTTCATTATCAGAAAAAGACTTTCATCATTCGCTGGTTTTCAAAATTGTTTGATAATCTTAACAGAAATCTGCAGGAGTTGAAGATTTAATTTTTATTTTATCTGGTTTTAAGTTCCCAAATAGCTTCATCAACTAAAAGATAAGAAAATGTTTCAGAAAGGATTAATTATAGAGAATATTATAGTTCATTATAAATGCAACCAACTTTGCCTCATAAAATGGTGAATCATAAAAATGTTTATAGATTTATTTTAACAATATTTAGTGCAGCCCTATATGAATCAGTTAATAAAACCTAATTATACAGGTGTACAAAAAGTATGGAATAATGGTTCTACAGCATAAACTTCAACTTATATAAAAAAAAGTTTTAAACAAAAGTTACTTGAAACTATTTTCCGCATGTTTTGGCGTAGAAATAAAATAAAAATAATGACGGCAGTCTGAGTTACGACATGGTAAGTGTGTTTTTTAAATGGAACATCCTGTATATTTTAAGGTTTTTGGATTCCTTTTTACAAAATGCCATAAGGTTTTAATGCTTTAAACTGCATAGTTTTCGAGATATTGAAACTTTTATTTAAAAAGGTTTGATATAGCGACAACCAAATAGACAACCAAAGCCTTGACGTCATAGAAATGGGCGGAGCTTATACCGACTCCAAACATCACCGGTAAATCACCATATGCAATTTTTCATTAGTGTTTAAATAAAATAAACTAAGTGACTTAGGGCCGGTATATCAATGTCGAGTTAAATCTGTTAGATACGCAACTCATGGATAACCTTGCCTAACAGATAACCTCAGTGAACCGTTTATCCAGCAACTTTCTACCCGACAGGCAGCAACCTACGAGATAGAATATAGATGGTACCCCCGAGTGTTAACATTAGAAACGGAAATGAAACGTAATTGGTAAAATTTTAATAATTGACTTTAGTTTATGAAGTTGATATAAACAGCTGATCGTGTTTTGGAGATTACCATTCCTGTGTGCTTTCGGTATTGTGCTTTGTTTTCGAAAACCTCTTTTATAATGGAATTCCTACATGAATATTTATTAGACAGCGATAAAGATGAGGATATTGTCCAACTCTTAAATTATAAACGACGACCATATATTATAAAAGAAAGACAAAAGTCAAAACCACTTTGAGGAGTTGGACGACCACGTTTTTTGGTTAGATTTCGGTTAAAAAAGGACAGTTTTATTGATCTTGGTTAAAATTGAGACGAGTTTATACTGTATTAGATTATAGATTATATTATTATTATTTTTTTAATTACTAGATTATTATTTATTTTCTATAACATTTTTATATTCGTTTGCCAAATCCATCAGCAAGTTCTTTTCTGCTGTACTAAAATTTGATGATCTTTTCTTTCTCTTGCTTATCCATCACCACAATTATAGCTTAATTTATTTTTGACGTTATATTTTGATTTTATTGTCATTTACTCACATTTTTTTGACAATATCTAATAGGTATACCCTTAACCAGTACTTCAATCTGGTGAGTATCCAAATGTCATATTTATCTATAAGATTACCCTAAACTAGGAGTGGATAACCGATTCGTCGACGTTATCTATCAGCTACAATTTTAATTGACAGATAATTCGTCTTAACTAGATATTGATAAACCGGCACTTAAGGCCCACTTTTACCACCTCTAGATAAATTTAACCGATAGATAATTACCATGGTTACAGCGGGTTTAAGCGGTCTCATTGGCTAAGAGCACCAATTTATCTATCGGTTAAATTTATCAAGAGGTGGTAAAAGTGGGCCGTAGGCAGTCTATTATGGTGTCATTATGGAATAGACAACCTAAGCCTTGACGTCACAGGGATGGGTGGAGCTTATACCGACTCCAAACAATTTCGTTGCTAACTAACGATAAATCGCCAAAAAATGTCATTTGAAATGTCATCACTTAGTTTATTTTATTTTAACTCTAATGAAAAATTGCATATGGTGATTTACCGTTAGCAACACAGTTAGCAACGAAAATGTTTGGAGTCGGTATAAGCTCCGCCCATCTCTGTGACGTCAAGGCTTAGGTTGTCTATTGTTTGGAGTCGGTATAAGCTCCGCCCACCTCTGTGACGTCAGACTTAGGCAGTCTATTCGAGCGGAAACTGTCTCCGTTACCATAGCAACACACATAACAATAGACTGCCTAAGTCTGACATCACAGAGGTGGGCGGAGCTTATACCGACTGTAAACAATTTCGTTGCTAACCACAGTTGCTAACGATAAATCGCTATAAAAATGTCATTTAAAATGTCACTTAGTTTATTTTATTATAACACTAATTGAAAAATTGCATATGGGGATTTTTCGTTAGCAACGAAGATGTTTGGAGTCGATATAAGCTCCGCCCATCCCTGTGACATCAAGGCTTAGGTTGTCTATTCCATAATTTGGTTGTCGCTACGTCAAATCTTTTTAAATAAAAGTTTCAATATCTCGAAAATTATGCAGTTTAAAGGATTATGGAATTTCGCAACACCTTGTCAAAAGGAATCCAAAAACCTTAAAATATACAGGGTGTTTCATTTAAAAAACACTCTCACCATGTCGCAACTCAGACTACCGTCATCATTATTATTTTATTTCTACGCCAAAATATGCGGAAAATATTTCAAGTTACATTTATTTAAAACTTTTTTTAAAGTAAGTTGAAGTTTAGGCTGTAGAACTATTATTCCATACTTTTTGTACACCCTGTATAACTTGCCATACTATTACAATAGCAACAATTCTCAACACATTTTTAGACCTCTATCAAGTTGGCACTACATCTTGCGATTTGAACAAAAAAATTATTGTATTAATTGTCGCTTAATTTGTTGTAATTTGCCGTAAAGTTTACAAATTTATCGCGTCCTGTTTTATAAACAATATTTGAAATATTGCATTTTTGAGTTAGTGCTAATGACATCATAAATTGTCGCTTAATTAAGTAGATCTAAGGCTGTACAGCATGGTAAAATAAATGATTGCTATACATCTGTCCGAAGATATATCTACAGAAAGCGAAGAGCGTACAGAACAACTAGATATTGATTTAGATTCATAAATTGCAGCCACGAAAAAGATGATGATGAATGTCTTAGTGTGAAAGAAAATTTTAGTTGAGGTGATTGGGGTTTAGAAATTAAAGAAGAAGTAAATTCTGTTATTCGATCAGAAGAAGAGGATGGAGATAATCCGCGGGTCTGTCCCCAAATAGCTGTTTATTTGTTAAAAAAATTAGAAACGTTTCCATTATGGGGCAACATTTGTACGATATCTTTTGGTTACGGTCGTACACCTGCATCCAGTGCGCATATTGAATCTGAGTTTAACTTAAGCCGGATTTATATTTGTCTGACGTGTTGTGTCGTGATGCGCTCTGACGTAATGGTTAGTGTTCACATTTATATGTTGTGTTGTGACGCACTCTGGCGATATTTTGAATGAATATAATCGTAGCACTCAGAGAGTTCATACGTGGGTCTATAATGTTTTCCCATGAATCTTCTGATTCAAATTATGAAGAAGATATTCATTTTATGGTACTGGCAACTCTTCTAAAAAAAAGAAAAAGAGAGAAGATATTGGGTTCATCCACTGAACAGAAAGAGAGAGGCTAAAGGAGAATTTCACGGCCTGGTTAAAGAGTTTGAGAGCGATGCTGATAATGTTAAATGTAATTAAATTTAATATTGAAAGAAAGAAGAAACGCAAATCTGACGAGTCATAAGACAGGTGTACACTTGTCTGATCTGTCGTTATGCGTCACTTGCCACTCCACTGCTCTGACGGACATCGGGATCGCTGCTGATGCGACACAACACAAGGCACCACAACACATTGCGACACACAAATATGAATCTCACCATAGTAAATGTATTCAACCGATACCGTTAACTAATATAACTGATAACTAAGAGTTGTAACATTGTTTTTGTAATTTTCTTTAGTTAAATATATGCCATTAAAGTGAACCAAATTTGATTTGTCTAGAACTATTATTTAAAAAGTGACATATGTATATCGAAAAGTGTTCCCCTAATTTTTTTGAGCAGGGTATATAAATATACAGGTGGTCCGGAAATTATGTTCATATATTTAAAGGTGTGATTCTACATAAAAAATCATGAAGGAAAGTTCAGATAAAGATGTGTCCTAAAATGTTCAATATGTGGTTATTTCTAAGTAAAATACTGCACACAAACATGTGTATTAAACTATCACTAAAAATCTTAAGCTCCTTTCATTTGCTGTCAAGCGGTCGATAAAAAAATATTTTAGTGCAAAAACCATATTGTAATTTACGTTTAATTAAATCAAAATGGTTCAATACTCAAACGAAGAGATGGCAAACATTCACTTTACGTACGTTAGAGATAATGGAAATGCCAAAGAAGCACGAAGATTGTACGCAGAACGATATCCAAATCTACAACTTCCCTGTGAACGAACGTTCGCTTCTATTCATAGAAGATTGTGTGAAACTGGGCGCTTTAAGCAAAATCTTTAAGGAAGAATGGCTGCTCGAGCAGTAGCTATCAATCCTACGGCCCTGAAGCCCTCAGATATATGTGTGATATATCAATGGAAAGCTCTTTGAAAATGAATATCAGTTCACATTTACCACATTTCGATAGCTATTTTCGTTTTCAGCCTATAAGCGAATATATATATTTCGCCCCGATTTCCAACCCTTATAACACGCCTAGGGGCTTTATTAGCACGTATAAAAAAATACGTAAACCTTATTTTTAGCCATACTATCGCTGTACCAAATTTCAACAAAATCGGTGAGGGACAGTTCTGATACTTCCCTTGTTAGTCACTTCTGTAATACTGTAGTGTGCCATGGAAAAAATAACGGTGGGCAAATTTGGGTGTTATTATAGGCTATGTCAGAAACTATAAGAGATACGAAAAAAGTAGGTGCCATGTCCCGGTCTCTTTTTTCGAGACTAACCCAATNGAAAAACATACCGAGCAATTTGAAAATCAAAAGTTGATAAATTTAAATTGAAGATGGTGTTGGAAAAAGTTTATTTGTAGCATGAATCATAGTATTCATCAAACCATTTCATTTGATACCTCCCTCATAAAAATCCTTTAAGGTAAATGATAGAGTTACAGCTTGCGGCGTTCTTGTGTGACAACCTGTATATACAGGATGTCTTTTTTCTGCTAAAATTACAGTCAAAATAGACGTATTGTACATCAATGGATTCAGAAAAACAATCTCTAGTCAACGACGTGAAGAAAAATATATGGAGTAATTTGAAAAACAAGAACTAATAATCGCTTGAAATTGAAGATGGCGTTGGAAAAAATGTATTTGTAGCATGAATCATAGTATTCATCAAACCATCTCATTTGATACCTCACTTATGAAAATCGGAATGTAAATGACAGAGTTACAGCTTGGGGCGTTTTTTATCTGACATCCTGTATATACAATTTCAGGATAAACAATTTAAAGTTGTTGGTGCGTTGGATATTTGGGCAATCAAAATAGTAATACCGCCGTAGGACATTATATAGCAATTTCATATCGAAATAGCATTAAATTGGTTGTTTACGATGATTTGAAAGATGTCGCTAAGAAGGTTAAGCCTACATTTGAAACTATACTAGCATTAATTATATCCAGGGTGAGTCAGAAAGAATGGGAAATCCGAATACCGGAGACACTAGACATCAAAATATGACGATTTAACCTAACATCTCTTATACAAATGTCGGTGGTTTTCAAGGCACAGAAAGTTAAATTCTTATTTCGAAATTTCTTGATAATTTTAAAGCTTTTTGTACTATTAACATAAAATTTGGTAGTTATATGTTTTCGAGCATAAGAAATACGAATTTGAAATTTGTTTTGTGATTACTCGTACAGGGCGCTTATTACAATAAATTAAGCGACAATTAATGCAATAGTTTTTTTTTATTCAAATCGCAAGATGTAGTGCCAACTTGACACACGTTGTTAGTGCTGGAGGGTTAAGGAAGAAGATGTCCCAGCTATAAATGCTTCCGGGCAGGCTTCTCCAAACTTTTTTGCAAGTCTCCTAACATATACAGTGTGTTAATTAATTACCGTACCCAACGTCATCATTACAAGTATGCAACCAATATCACAGTACAATACGCATCATACGCAAATCGCGTATTGCAATAAAAATACTGTGATATTGGTTGCATACTTGCAATGATGATGTCGGGTACGATAATTAATTAACACACTGTAGATAAATCCAATATCTTCATAGCTATTCAATTCCAAGTATCTAAAACATAAAAACAATCAAATACAATTTCCATTTTTAACCGCAACCAATTTAACAGTACATCAAATTTAGTTATCTACTCATACTCTCCAAAACAAATTTAAAAGTACACTAAGAAAGAAGAAAAGTATTGGTTAAATGTAAAATAATATTATTACAAATCCTTCCTATTTGGGTTTAAAAAAAATATTTAAAACCGTTACACTTTACGAACAGGAAAAAGTTAAATATTTACCATAAAAAGGCTTAGATTAGATTGCGGTGAACAGGTGACAGATACTCTTTTACTCAGGTATAAACTGTTTGCACATGCGCGCGTTCGTGGCACGCAACCAAACGAGACAGTCTTGGGCTGATAGAAGTGATTCGCGGTTGATTTCGTTGACGGTCGAGACAGGTGGTTGAAGAGGAAGGTTTGTTGTTTGGTTCAACCGGGACGCTGCTCTTTCAATTGGCCGACCGACTCCGAGAACACCTACGGTAAGAAAAACATTTAAAAAATAAAGATTTTAAGTAATTTTAAGACTATAAAAAGTTTTAAACTTGAAAACTAAAAAAAAAGATAGGAAGATGGATCTTTTTTGTTGATTTGGTGTTTAAAAAAAAACAATTTTTCTTTATTGATTCTTGGAAAGGATGTTACACAATAGATTATTACCTGGTATCGATTGATGTCGAGGTAATCCTTTTACGGTATTTTGTGATTTCGTAAAAGAAAAAATTATTAAGTAAAAAATTGTTATTATAGCTATTAGGTTTTTTACTAATCTTTTTTGATTAATTTTTGATCGATTGATAGAGGCTATATTAAATTTAAAAAATGTAGTTTCATTAAATTTAGTAAAAACAATTTCTTTCACAGTGATATGCTTTATCAATAAAATTTATCTAGTAATTACAAAGCGGGGCGATAAAATTAAAGATTACGGTTTTTGATCGGTTATTTTTTTTACCTACTCTTATTATAAAGTTATGTTTTAAAACTAACGTTCCATTTTATAACCTTGAATAAGAAATTTGTAAGTAGGAGTCTCGAGCGCAACTCGTTCGTCATTTAAACAATTTTATTTTTTCTCGTTCTATTTACATGTGACTAACAAATTGTTTCAATTGGTCGATTTGGTCCCCTTTCCTTTTTTAATTTCAATACGTAAAAATGACTCATTTCCACGTATTCCATACTAAAAAAATATCAACAATATTTTTTTTTTAATTTTGGGTAACTTATTAATTAAACTTTTATCAATTTAACAAAAAAGAATATAATAACCAATCGAAAATAATTTTACACGGCATCTTAACAGGACATTATCTTTAATAACCCATCAATTCTTATCGTTTACAATCAATTTATCATCGTCGAAAATGAAAAAATACCTTTTCGGTATAGATATGAGAATCCATTTATTTCCGTTTTCACGTTTTTGTATTAATTAAACTAATACAATTAAAACGCGATAATAAAGTCAATAGCCAATTGGATTAATTTGTACTAATTATGAAACGTTCATTAGATAAATCCATAAATTTATAAGATTTACTTGATAAAAAAGGAAAATTATTTCCGTGTATTTGTCGTTTTAACAACAAAAAATTGTGTGTAGTTCCGGTTGTCTTTTCGACGGGAAGTTCTCTTTCCGAACAATGGGTTGAAAACCGGAAACTGAAACAAACCTTTTTTTGAATTAAATTGTTTGGAAAAATTGGTTCAGGTATACTACCTACTTTAATAAAAAAATAGACTCAAATTCATTTTTTTTTTTCGTTTCAAATTTAATTTTTCTTATCAACTTATTGGTTTCAAGTGGGTAATAATAGCTATGTCGCCATAATCGATTTTAATATAATTTAAAAAAATATCGAATTACTCACCAATCGTATCTTAAAACACTTTCTTAATTAAAATTCTCAAATCATAAAAAAATACAAAAATTATATCAAATTTATTTGAATTAACTTAAGATGCAATACAGGATGATTCTCTCAACCTATACGCATTAAGTTGACGATTTATTCCTCATGACAAATTAATGATGAGTAATAAGTGAAAAATATTGCAGCAAAAGTTTTTTAGTTTCCTAGATATCCATGAAATTTACTTTCAAATCAAGAATACATATAAGATTTTAAAATGACATCAAAGTAAGTGTTCCAAGTTGTTTCCAATATTTTTTATACACAATTGGGCTCGCTGAATCCACGATGTCCGACTAGCGCGGCCTAAACCAGGGTGTTGGAGGATTGTCTCGGCAGCCATTTGTACCTGATTTCGCAATCCTTGCTTAGTATTAATTTGCGCAGTATTCACTTCCTCAGCTGCAATGTTAAATGCTTGTGTTAATCACTGTATGCCATCCTCAGTATCAGCCAAGAGGACGGCATCATCTGCATAGCACTCAATCTTGTTTTTGTAATCATTCATAGTCTAACCATAGTTTACATTACATACTTTGTAATGTTTGCCCTGTTCTAATTCTTTTATCCTTACTTCGTCGAACGTTTTGGTTAGATCAACGTAACAGAGGAAGACTGTCTGACGTTTTGTCGAGGTAGTTCTATCTGATTCTTTGATACAAATGTCCTCAACATTGTGTGATCCGTACTTGTCATTCTTCATCTTGTTACTAAATTTCGCCATACATCATTTGTGTAAGCAACTCTAGCAAGTATGGTGGTACCAGTTCTAAACAGATGAGATCGTTTGGTGTTGTTGTGTAAGATGATTTCTGGAAGCAAAGACTGTATGCTTTGAATATATAATAGCGCGGCCTAAACCAGGGTGTTTGTAAATTGTCAGTAGCAGTTTGTATTTGATTTCGCAATCCTTGCTCAGTATTATCTTCGAGAAACTGAGATGGAGGTCGGGCGATCGAAATGGCCAGTCCTATAAACTACCTCGACCTGTCCATCTTCCGAGAAGTACCTTATCTAGATGTCGCCGGATATCTATGAAACTAAAAATTTTTTACTACAATTTTTGCATACCTACTATCCGTGCAAAAAGTCAAGGCCCCTCACTTTAGAGATCGATATCTTCGCAACCGCTCGATAAAAAAAATTGCGACAAAGTTTGTTGTTTTGTTGTAATCCCTGAACATTTCTACGTAACATATGTTAATTTGAAAATTTTCGGATCCACTGTTTTCTTTTTATCGCGAGCTAAATGAAAAAAGTACCCGATTTTTTACGGTACCAGCAACTTTGTCAACTCTGCGATTTTTTTTTCTCGAAAACTATCGTACAAAAAAATTTAAATTTTGAACAGGTGGTAGCCTGATATGTTCTTAATGAGTGGCATATTTTATTTTTTCGATATTCCATACAGTTTCGCAAAAAAACGCAGATTAGTAAGACGCCGTTCTGTCGAAAACAAAGAGGAGGGTTCCGTCCAATCGGAACAGATGATGCGTCCCAGACAGTAAGTCGCGCCTTTATCTTACCTACATAAAGAAATAAGGCGCGACGTCCTGTCTGGAACGCACCATCTGCTCCGATTGGACGGAACCCCTGTCACCCCGCAAAGCTTATTTGTGTTTCTCTTTAATTTGTAATTCCATTAAATAGCTCTTAAAAAATTAGGGAGTTCTAATTTTGGAAAACTGTTAACGGAATCCGACAATCGACATTATTTGACATATTTTGGTAAAAACCGCGTTGAAATTCGCCAGGTCGTTTCGAAATAACCACATCCTACTAAACCGCGATTTTCCGCGAAACTATATGGAATATCGAAAAAATAAAATATGCCCCACATTAAGAACACATCGGTCCGGTGCGTACCTACTTACTTTGTTCCACATAAAATGCAACATGTCAATATAATTTGACATTATAGTAAAACCTCGATATAACGGGGAACGCGTGTCAGTTATAGCTCAATAAAAATATACAACAATCTAGCATTGAATAACAACTAAAACTAGACTAACACTAGCACTAGAACTAACACAAAACCTAGAAACGGTCCGTTTCAGAAAAATTAAAAGAAATATGTAGGAAAGGGGAGGGTATGCTTCAGCATACAGTACCTAGGCCCCAACGGGCCTCTTGTACATCCTCCTGCACTCTCTTCGGCTACATCAACCAGCCTAAGGAATTTCCGAAGGCTAGGATACAGCTCAGAGGTGTGTTCCTGATGCCATCCGTGGTCGGCCATTCCTCTCCGAAGTCTCTCATTCTGAGGTCTTGCAGAGTGGGGTATTCACACAAGATGTATCTAACCATCCCCTCGTTCTCTTCACAGAGGCGACAGAGAGGACTAACAGCAAGCTTAAGGTTATAAAGATGCTTGTTTACCTTACAGTGACCCGTGACGAGTCCCGTTACAGTTCGTAGAGCGTTTCTACCAAGCCTTACTAAAGACAAGGCTGTCTCTGCTGAGGGAAAATGTAATACTTCCTTACACAAATGGCAGCCCTTAACCCTATCCCACCAGTTCATAAACTTTTTGTGGGTAAAATCTTTAATTACCTCAATCTGAGTTGATAAGGACGGAACGATTATTGGTCCAAGCGAACATGGCGCTCGCTTGGCAGCCCTTGTGGCAAGTCTATCAGCGTGCTTGTTACCTGAACAAGTCGAGGGTCCTTTTGTCCATTGAAGTATAACGTAGTTATGCATTGCGGCCTTCTCCAATATCAGATGACAACCCATAACAAGTCCTGAGGTAATTGTTATTCTACTCGGGGCTAAAATAGCTTGTCTACTGTCAGTGTAAATTGTAAAAGTCTTACCTACCAAATTGGGTCTGACAATAACGTAAGCGACAAGTTGTATGACGATTAACTCCGCCTGTATGATGGTGGTACTTTTACCTAGAGTTTCAGATACGTGGAGTCGGAGATCGTACGAAAAGACTCCGGCTCCAGCTCCTTCCCGTCTCCTTGAACCATCAGTGTAGATTTTAAGGCTGTTTTTTATCTCTACTTCTATGGAACTTGAGTGGGTGAGATATTTCTTCGTAAAAATGTGTTGTAGGGGTGTGAATTCCGTTATACATTCCAGAATTGGTGACTAGTTCACCATTTCATTCCAAAGAATGGCATTTATACTATATCTCTCACCCATTAGAATTCCTGCTGTTCGCAGTCGAATCATAGTCACCAGTGCCACCTCTTGGATGAACAAATGAAGTGGCGTTAGGTTGAACATGTTTTTCATGGCTGCAGTGGGGGTAGTCCGCAGCGCACCTGTAACATACAAACATGCAAGTCTCTGTACTTTATTAAATGCAGCAGTGGATGTAGACTGTAAGGTCTTTGACCACCATACTACTGCACCATATGTAAGCATAGGTCGGATTACAGCCGTGTAAATCCAGAGGGCATTTTTGGGTGACAAACCCCATGCCTTACCTATAGCCCTCCGGCATTGACCGAATGCAACGTACGCTTTTTTTACTCTATTATCTAGGTGGGCTCTCCATGTCATTTTATTGTCAAGTGTGATGCCCAGATATTTGACTTCTTTTGACAACACCA